GCATGAGCATGATCCCACTTACACATCAAGTTAATAATCATAGATATCTAATGATTAACTGTCAGTGACCGAAAAAACTTAAATATCGATCACTGTAACGCTTAACAACCAATAAAGTGATTAGTAATTTTCGATTGAAAAAGTGTTAGTCGCTAACCTTTAGCAACGTATTTTACAACCAAATTAAGTTGATTAAAAAATAAAAAATAAAATTTTGAACATCAAATTAATAATCATAAATATCTAATGATTAACTGTTAGTGACCGAAAAAACTTAAATATCAGTCTGTGTAACACTTAACAACCAATAAAGTGATTAATAATTTTCAATTGAAAAAGTATTGGTCGCCAACGTATTTTACAACCAAATTAAGTTAAGTTGATTAAAAAATAAAAAATAAAAAATAAAATTTTGAACGTATAAGTAGTTGAACAAGTGACCCCTAGGTAATGGATAAATCTCCGAACCACTAAGACACTTTGCTACAATTGTCAAAGTTGCAACGAAATTTTATATATAATATATTCGTTGATATAAAATTAAAAACGCAATATAATGGAACTGAACAGCTTCACCTCTAATTCTGCCATGAATTTCTTACCATTACACTGTTTCATTTATAACGTTATTTTTGTCGATACTTATATATATATATATATATATATATATATATATATATATATATATATATATATATATATATATATATATATATATATATATATATATATATATATATATATATATATATATATATTATTTAAAAAATTGAAATTTTAAATAATATTTTAAAAAATCTCTTACATTAATTATCATTTATATAATAAAAATAAAATTAATTATATTATAGATTTTTATGTGTTATTAAGTGAAAATAATTACTTTTTAAAATTATATAAGTTCATTTTAAGTGTATCACTAATTTTTAATATTCGGTCACTGAATTTTTTTTATAATATATATAAAAAAAATTAAGACTAAATACTCGATCACAAAATTTAAGTTTTTAATTTGATGGTTAATTTTATTTTGTGACTTATTTAACAACTTTCATAAAATAGTATGTTAAATTTCGGTGTCAAAATTTTCCGGTCATTAAAAATGCTTTTTTTAGTATAAACTTTCGACCATTAAATGTCAGATCAAAACAAAGTCTAAAGACATTTGTTTCCCATGACCGAAACCTTGAAACAACTAAAAAAACTCTAAGAGTGGGTGAGGCAATTGCCCTGACCTCCCAATCCATTTAAAAATTTTATACCAGATGATAAGAGCAACCTCACACAAAATAAAGAGATGATCTTCATGTTTGATATGTGATTTCAAATACAAGAAGGGTGAATTGTGGAGTTTTGAAAAACTTTTGTTGAAAATAAAATTATTTGAAAAATTAAAGTTTGAAAACATGTTGTAAAATAAATGAGTAAATAGGCAGCATGAAACCAAGGACATAAAATTACTGAAAAGTAAAAGAGATAAAGGAAAGATAATAACACCATAGAATTATACATGTTCAGCCTAAAAATGACATATTTTTGTCTTCAAAAGTTAGTTTTGAGAGTATCCACTAAATTTAAGAGCATTTAGAAGGATGTTCCAACGAACCTCCTTATACATGTAAATGAAGATTTTAGGTTAACTTTTAACCAAACAACAAACGAGGGTTATAACGGTCAGTCTCAAAACTAAACAAAGATTTTTCAAGGTTGATTTTGAACCAAAATATAGTTTTGAGTTGGCTATACGCCAAACCAAACCAAAGTTTTATACAGTCTAACCACAAACCAAATTTAGATTTTCATCGGTATGATCCTAAATCTACTAAGCTATTATACCAGGATGAAGTCAAAAGTCAAGAGAAATTTTGACTGGGCTGATCTCGAACTGATAGAGCTTTTAATCGGGCTGAGCTCAATAACCGCTGTGGAGATTTTGCTAGTTGATCTTCACGAACCAAAAGAGAGCTTTTTCTTGAAGGCGAAAGTCACAAACCAATCAGAGACTTCATAATACAAACAAGAGCTTTTACTAGTTTAGATCGCAACCAAACAACAACTTCCTATAAAATAATATTTTACACAATAGATATTTACTCTTGGTAAATTACAAATAAGCCGACTCCCCAAATAAATATCCTCACTTTGACTAAAAAATACTATCAAAACAATATGGCCAAATATATGTGAGAAAAGTAAGAGATTTAAATGAGTGACGAGAGAAATGAAAAAGTAGGACCACTACTCATTTTTGGATAAAAAATAATAATAAAGAAGCTTTATATTTATAGGTAAAGGTGTGGTCTAAATTTGGAAAAATTTATGGGCCAATTCAAAGTCATAATTGATTTGGCTAATCGATTAAACACTTTAAATAATCAATTATTAAGACCACAAATGAAAGATTTTGATATTTAATCATTACTAATCATTAAGAGACTGCCCCAAGCGATTTTAGAATCAACCAAGTATGACCTAATAGATTAGGTTCATAATCTAATTGATTATTCAGTTAGAAAGAGTCTTTCAATCAATTAAGCACCCCTTTAATCAGTTGTCTAGACCTAAAAAATATTTTTAGGTGGTTTGGATAAAATGTGAGACTTATAAAATATTTTGTGTGTGTGATTCAACCATAATATTTCCAAAAATAATTTTGTGTCTTTACAAGACACTCATCACTTAAACGGACACAATCAGACGAGTTTTCACACTTCCTTTCTTTCTTAACTCTGAAACTTCAAGTCTTGGTATCATTATATTTAAATTTAGTATCCTACAAGATCCTTGAATCTTCTTAATCGGGTTTGAGATATCATTATGTGGATTACCATCATATGAGAGCTGGAAGGTTAGACCACAGTTGATTCTGGAATATAAGTCTTCACTTGAATATCGTTTGACCATATTGTTGACTTCAAATAGATGTCTTGATCTTAAATAACATAACTTGATTTAGGAGTATAGCTTATTCAATCATCTTAAGAATCTTTGACCGCTCGAGTTATGTTCAATAGATACTGATTTCGCTCGATATTGCTTGGCACTAAGTGTTGTGATCATCAATACTAAACAATTATTTAGTTGACTTATAACTTTTGCTTATCCATAAGCTTCATCATCTTGGACCATCTTGATAATATCTACAAACATATAGATTTACATGCCGACTCAACTTGCCCTATGCTTACTAAACACTCCCAAAAACTAGACTCCAACACAAATTAATGCCTCCGAAGATTTCGTCTAGTCAACGACCTTTCCTGAAGCAGCTGCTAAGAGAACTGTACAATTTTAGAATGCAAAAATCTCTTCCAAATCCTAGAGAGAGTCCCCTCAAAACCCTATTTAGCATACATTCTCTTACTATAGAGAAAGCCACCGGATTGTCATAAATATAACTAACTGAAAAGTCCACAATTATGTTTAACTTCCGAATCTAAACATCTTCTTGGCCTCGCCTAACAACAACATAATAAGGACAATCAAAATCAAAAAGAGCTCTTCCTTCTAGACTAAAAATGTCTATCTAAAGCTCTAAATCTGAACATCTCTTTCTCAAGTGCACCTTTTTTTTTTGTCTTTCATTGTTAGTGTAAATTCCTGTATCTATCAAACTTCCATTCATTGTAATTAAATATTGTATTTATTAACATCATGATCAAGATTGTCGTTTGTTATATTTATCACTTGAAACTTCATTGTTGTCGTTTGTCATGTCTATCACTTGAAACTTTATTGTTGTTTGGGAGTAATATTTTTTTTACATTCTCTACCTCTTATTTTCGAGAATGCAAATTCATAATATAAATATTGTGTCGAAGTATACTCATATTTTAAAAAAATCTTTTTACATTAAAGAAAATTATAGTTGTTCATATTTAAATAACAAATTCTATATTATTAATATTTATGATTTTTCAGAATATTTGGAAATTAATTTAAAAAGTAATTATATAGATCAATTTTATAAATAATAAATAAAAAAAAACATACAATGTCGATGTAAAATAATTTTACACTTACAACTAATCAATGATGTTTATCCTAACACATTACACTTAAAATTTAAAAATATTTTAATAATTTAACAATTAATAATATTTTATTGAATAATAGTGTCAAATTAATTTATATTGACTCAGTACATATCCATTACACTTAAATAATAAAAATATATATTTTTCATAATTTAAAATTTTCAATTGCTATTAAATTTTTCCGAAATAGGTATTTTCAAATTTATTGTTATATATTTAAAAATATATATTTTTCATAATTTAAAATTTTCAATTGCTATTAAATTTTTTCGAAATAGGTATTTTCAAATTTATTGTTAATATTCTATAGTATATAATTTGACTGTTATTTTTCTTCCATGGTTTACTTAAATACCATTTGAGATATGTTAATACTAAGGACTAAATTCATAGTATTCATTTTTGCAATTCGGACATTTGACTAATTCTTTTGACCATATATATAATATAAAGTGTTCTAGAAAAACTTGATGTATTCTGGATTTTTTTTTTAGTAATAACATTTTAAATATTTTATTTTAAAGGAAATAAGTATTGTTATTTATTTATTTATTTTCGGCTCATAAAAAATAGAGTACTACAATAGTACTTTTATTAATTCTTTTAATTAACTAATGTCCACTTAATTTATAACGACAAAAGTACAACCAACCGTCTATAGAAAAAACAGAATAGTTTAGTATTAAACAAACAAACATATTTTGTCTATTTATTACTATACCTTTGGAATTTCGATGATCACAACTATATAAAACAACGTAAAAGACGCACTCTTGGTTTTCATTCCACCCGTGTCCAGTTGCAGGCCTTACCTCTACCGCTAAAACCACAACAACATTAGCCATTCCTCTCATTCATATATTTCATTCTCCACACCTACAAACACATTCATTCTTCATTTTCTCTTCCTTGTGCGCGTGTTTTCCACTATTAAATAATTCATATATACGAACACGCGCACAAATGGGCTGTGGAAAATCTAAACTCGATGTTGCTTCCCCAAGCTCCGTCCCCAAGAGCCAGAAACAAAGCGTCGATGATTCCGAGGTTGTTCAGGAAAATGGTGCAGAAACAGAAACTATTCAGAAGAATGCCATAGACAACAACAATGTTGAGAATGAGAACCTTGAAAAGGTTGCTGATAAATCCGATGTTGTTGTTTTGGATTCTAAGGAAACAACAAATGTTCAGCAAGAGAATGCATTGGAGAAGAAGGATGAAGCTGTTGTTGTTGAGAACAAGACACGGGAAATCGTTGCTGCGGAAGAGAAAGATGAAGAACAATCCACCACAAAAAACCAAAAAGGTGAGAAATTACATTTTTTGTTACGCTGTTAATTGTTAATTTTGAAGTTTAATTTGATATTTGTATGCGTACAGAGGTAGAGACTTTGGTGAATGAAGTTGAAGAAGAGACAAAAGATTCAAAACAGGGAGAACCATTGGCCAAGGAAAATGAAGAAGAAACAAAAGCTACAAAACAGGAAGAACCATTGGTCAAGGAAGATGAAGAAGAAGCCAAAGACACAAATCAGGAAGATAATTTGACCAAGGAAGAAGAAACCAAGGAAGCGGTTCAGGAAGTGACTGTGGCCAATGAAGAAAAAACCAATGAGGCAAATGTTTCCGCTTCTGAAATTGAACAAAAAGATGCCAAAGTTGATGAGATTAAGGTATGTTAAGGTTTAACAGATATTCGATAAATAAATGTTCAACGTTACATAGTATTAGTTATGAGTCAGGTTCTGAATAAGTTCAATGGAAACATGTTTATGGTGCAGGAACAATGAAGAATTGAAACTGGATGAAGATGATACGAAATTGTGTTGTAACAAGTTCACAAGTTGATGATGCTTTTCAGTTTGATAATGTTCATGTTGATTTGGTGATGAATATGCCCTGTATTTTACTTATTCTTTGAGTCCTCTTACAAGAGTTATTCAACTTATAATAAATATAAGAATCAACTTTGATTTATGATTTATCTAAGGTTTTGTGAGAACTCTTCAATCTTGTTTCTCTTATGCTAATTGAATGCTTTGATGGTGAAATCATGGTTTTAATTGCGACGATTTGCGAGTATTGCAATTGCAATTGTGAATATTGTAATGGATATTGCAACGTAAATATTTATTCAAGAGGTTTTTTTAAATTGGGATTTAGATTCTATGCTGAGTAGAAACTTTTTAAATTAATAATGTCAGGACGAGAGTTATTAATTTAGCGATAAATTAATAATTATTAATTTAAAGAGTTTTTAAATAATTATACTGTACATATCAAATAAAAAGGCAAATTAATCTATATCTTTTAGAATTATGTTGCAGCAAATCTAGGTACTCAAAATAAATTACTAACTACTGTGTTTATATATATTGGAAATCAATAATGATTTTTGAAGTTCAGTAAATATAAACAAGAGAAACAAATGTGTTCAATGTATTCTTAAATAAATTTGACATATATAAATTACATGAATATCTCACAAGATGGCTTCTCATCTAAAAGGTGTTGTAAAATCAACTATGTCAGATCAAATACGTAAGGAGTTGTGTGAGTACAAGAGAGATGATCCTGCAAGCATACAACAAGACTTGCAGAGGTGGCTTGAGGGAAAATTTCAGTTGAACATTAGTCAAGGAACAATATCAAACACGCTTAAGCGGTCAGATGACTATCTCTCTGCTGAAATAGAAAATGGAAGAGCAGAGATCAAAAGACACAAACCAGTAAAATATCCTGACATGAAGAAGGTTGTTTATGAGTGATTTCTCCAGCATTAAGAACGTGTGAATATCACAAGAGAATTAATTTTGCAGAAGGCAAGAGATACAATGAAACTCGTGTACCCTCGTGATAATTCATATTTTAACTTCTCTATAGGATGGCTTGAGAAATTCAAGCATCGACATGGCATAAAGTCATTTCGTCGTTTTGGCGAGAGTGGGTCTATTGATGTACAAGACATGGAGCAGAAATTGGTATCGATTCAGGAGAAAATTGATCAGTTCCCTATGAAAGATGTTTTAAATATGGATGAAACACTACAAAAAAAAACTCTCATTTGCAACGTGAATTTTACGTCACAACAAATTAATAGCGACGTCAAAGATCACGTGACTGGAGAGAGGGTGGCAAGTTGTTTACGACGTGACTTCCATGTCACGTCGCAACATATTTGCTTTATTTGCCACGTGATTTTCACGTCACAAAAATAGTGACGTGAAAATCACGTCACTAAATCAAAACGTGTAATACACATCTTTTTTCAGCTTTTATTTTTGTATGCCTAACAGTTAAGTTGTGACGTGATTTTCACGTCACAACTTGTGACGTGAAATTCACATCACTAATGTTTTTTTTGTTTTTTTATTTAAATTTAATAACTAAATTTATTTTCTTTGCATAATTAATTAATTAATAATATTAATTAATAAATTTAATATATAATAAATTAAATTAATAACTTTAACATATAATAAATTAAATTAATAAATTCAATATAGAATAAATTAAATTAATAAATTTAATATATAATAAATTTAATATTTAATAAATTCTATATATAATAAATTCGATATATTAAATTTAATATAACAAAATTAATAAACTAAAATTATAAATTTAAGAACTAATTAATTAGTATGGTACACAAATTCAAACGTAAATAAATAAATAAAAAATTTAAGTTTACGGGTCATCTTGGTTGGTATAATTGTCAATGTCAAAATCATCCTCGCTTTCATCATCCTCCGGCTCTTGACCACGAAAGTTTTGATTTCCACCAAACCTTTGCATAAATTATCGCATTTATTGCTCCATATCAGCCTGCCTCTTAGCTATGCCCTCCATTTGTCGTTGTTGATCTTGTCTCATTGTCTCCATTTGGGCCTCCATTTGGGCTTTCATTGTCGCTTCACGTTGCGCTGACTCGCGTCTCGCCTCATTTCACGTCAATTGTCTTACTGTTTCAAGTTGTTCCGGTGTCAAATTTGGTTGATGTCATCCCCTTCCCCATCTCTAACTCTTTGAAATAGAGTTCAACCCCCACTTCTCAAGGAGCCCGCCAAATTTCCACCACTAAAAAACAACCGTTAGGACCTTTTCCGCCAATGACTTGATCCCAAATATAAAAATCCACATCTGGATGAAGCAACTCTCCCTCTCTCAGAGTATATTGAGGATTATGAATCAAAAAATTTACGAGTAATGTCTCATAATCCTCCTATACATTCAATAAAAAAATTAAGTTAAATATTTAAAATTTTTATTAAATTAATTTATATTAAAAAAGTTGCCACGTGTTTTCATGCCACGACTTCTCAATTGCCACATGATTTTCACGTCATAGTTTCTCAGTTGCCACGTGATAATCACGACACAAAATTATCATTAAATAAAAAATATAAACAACTAATTGCCAAATTAGAACAGGAGGAGACTGAAGGAAACCGAAGGGAAGAGGGTGCTGCTGAAGATCAGCTCAATGCTGGAGAAAGTAGCTCCTCTGAAGGTGACAATGCTTAAAGTCTGGTGGAATTGTCAAGCCTGATGTTGATGTTGTTGATGCAAGTGTCTTCAGATTTTATTTGTTGTTTTTATTACCTATTTTGGATAACTGTATAACATTTAAGTACATGTTTCTTTGGCCCATTTGTGGCTAAAGAGGGGGAGATAATTTATGTGTTAATCACTTGGTAGACCTCATATTTTTTCTGCAGTCATATTCATTCTGCTGCTCTATATTCTCTGATTGCTTAGGGGCTTTAGCCAAAAATCTGCCAAAGGGGGAGTTTGTAAGTGTTTAGTTATTGGCATGTATTTTTGGTAAAACCAGGTGTGTGAATGTCATGACTGATGTCATAACATTCTGGTTTATTAGGTACTTTATGCAGAAAAATTATGGCATACAATAGCTATTGTGTATGAGTGTGTATCTGAGCATTTTGCAAAAGATCACATTTATTGCCTTCTACCAAAATCAGTAAACAGGAATTTTGATGTCATAACAAATGTTAAGACATCCTGTACTGATCTAACAGTAGTGCAGTTTGGTTAATTCTGAGTTTTTTCTGGAAGTTGGCTCATTCCTTCCAGAACAGAATCTCCCGTTGTCTTTGGGTTAACCTAGCTCAACCCTAAACTGGTTGATAAAGTCTTGTGACCAAGTCTTATGGTTAAACCTAATTAACCCTAGCTTTTTGTGAAAACCCTAACTGAAGAAACAGCTGCTATATATTCAACAGGATTGTTGTTTGGAAAATACCTCTTTGGACTGAAGATCAATTAGAAACTGTATAGTTTTAAATGCTGTAATCCAAGCAATTATCATTGTGATAAGTGACTTGGAATAGGTTTTGTTTGTAAGGGTTTTTGTACCACTCAAAGCTTTGAAGCAAGAGTGTTTTATGTCTCTTGACTAAAGCTTTGAAGCAAAGTCAAGTTAGGTTTATGTATCACTCAAAGCTGTGAAGCAAGAGTGTTTGTGTTACTTGATTAAAAAGCTGTGAAGCATAATCAAGTGTATGTTCTGAAGAGTGTCTTCATTAATTCATTAGTCAATTGTTTTAAGTATCACTGCTGTGATTGAGGGGGAGTGAGTAGGAACTCAGGTTTAAGTAGAACTTAGATTGAAGTTGCATTAGGTAGGTCTTAAGTGAAGGAGATTAACTGATTGGTTTATTCCTGAATTAATATCTCTTATAGTGGATTTCCTCCCTGGCTTGGTAGCCCCCAGAGTAGGTGTTGTTTCACACTGAACTGGGTAAACAATTGACTGTGTTCTTTACTATTTTTATTTACTGTCTTATAGAAAGTCAGATACGGTGTCATAACATTCACTGTGACATTGAGTATCTGCTGCCAGAATTTTCAATTGGCATCAGAGCAGGCACCCTGCCTGTATTACTGGGTGAGATCTAGGGATATCACTTTCTGGCACTATGGACAAAGAAGGAGTTTTTGGAAATAGACCACCCATTCTGGATGGAACAAATTATGACTACTGGAAACCTCGTATGATTGCCTTCTTAAAATCTCTGGACAAAAAGGCTTGGAGAGCTGCTGACAAAGGATGGAACCATCCCACCATAACTGAGAAAGATGGGACAATCAGTCTGAAGCCTGAGGAAGAATGGAGCAAAGAAGAAGATGAGTTAGCCCTGGGAAATTCCAAAGCTTTAAATGCCTTGTTCAATGGAATTGATAAAAACATTTTCAGACTAGTACATCAATGTGAACTGGCCAAGGAAGTGTGGGACACTCTCAAAACTACCCATGAAGGCACATCCAAAGTAAAAATGTCAAGGCTTCAGATGCTGACTACAAAGTTTGAGAACCTAAGGATGAAGGAAGATGAAACCATTCATGAGTTTCACATGAACATCTTGGAGATTGCCAACACCTCAGGAGCATTGGGTGAAAATATGTCTGAAGAAAAACTGGTGAGAAAGATTCTCAGATCCCTGCCTAAAAGATTTGCAATGAAGGTAACTGCTATAGAGGAAGCCCATAACATCAGCAACTTAAAAGTGGATGAACTCATTGGGTCTCTTCAGACTTTTGAGATGGGGATCAGTGACAATGTTGACAAGAAAAACAAGAGCATAGCACTTGTATCCAACACTGAAGATGAAAACAAGGAGGATGAAGAAGAAAATATTTCAGAAGCTATTGCCATGCTTGGAAGACAATTCAATAAACTTATCAAAAGAATGGATCCAAAGTCAAGGTCAAATGTTGATAACATTCCCTCTGACATTAACAGATCTTATGACTCCAGCAGAAGACC